ACTTGTATTATCCGTGTCAAGTAGAGGACTTTATCAATATATTACCTCAACATAAACTCTCTTTTATACTATAATTCTTTCACTAATCAACTAACAAAAACAACTAATTAAGAGCTATATACACAATAAGTTTCAAAATATCTCCGTCATTAAGTGCTGGCGAAGTTACGACAGTCTGGCGAAGAGAGAGAAAAAAACTCATCCCAAAGTAAAAATCCCGGAATCGCTACAAGAATCTCAACGCATCACAAAAACCAAAGCAAAACACCTCAAGATCACAACAAGGATAAGCATCTAACACATCCCCTGGCGTTGAGTGCAGGCGAAGCTACGACAGCCTGGCGATAAGGGAAAAGCAATTTAGGGGAAGGAAAAAATAACTAATTCGATTAAAATTTGGCGCAGATGATGGCGGCGAGACGACCATCCATCAGAGGGAAATAAGTTATAGTAGGAGATGACGTCACTAGCTAGAGACAAAACACCCACTTATGTCGACGTCTGGCTCCTTCTCTTACTACCAGGAGGAGGAGGAGGAGGAGGAGGGGGAAGAGGAAGAGGAGGGGGAGGAAGAGGAGGAGGTGAACCAGCAGTAGCTATATCAGAAGAAGAAACAGGAGAAAGATGAGAAGAAAGAGGAGGAGGAAGAGGAACAACAGGAGGAGGAAGTGGATGGAAAAGTGGACAAGGAAGAAGAGAAGTAGCAAACGGGGGAACAACAGGAAGAGAAACGGTAACAGAAGAAATAGGAGGACATAAAGCAACCGCAAAAAGGAGGAGGAGGAGAAAGAGGAGCTTGGAGGAGCAGGTGGAGGAGGAGGAGAAGAGGAGCTTGGAGGAGGAGGAGGAGGAGGAGAAGTAGGGAGGAGGAAGAGGAGGAGGAGAAAAAAGAAGAAGAAGAAGAAGAAGAAGAAGAAGAAGAAGAAGAAGAAGAAGAAGAGGAGGAGGAGGAGGAGGAGGGACGCCAACAGCAAGAAACAACACACGCACTTATCTCAAACGTCCACTCATCTTGACGTCTCTCTCACAGGCGACAGACCAATACTTTGGACACACACACACACACACACACACACACACACACACACACACACACACACACACACACACAGAGGAGGAAGCACAATAACAGTGATATAACAGAAAACAGTGGACACAGGCGGTAGGGAAAAGCAGAAGCAGGCAGGAGGAAGGACAGCTAGAGCAGCAGAGAGGTTAGCAGGTACAGGAGGAGGGAATACAGCAGGAAAGACGCCGTAAGAAGCAGTACGTGAAGAGCCAGCAGGGGTAATAGCTGTAGAGGAGAGAGAGAGAGAGAGAGAGAGAGAGAGAGAGAGAGAGAGAGAGAGAGAGAGATTAAGGAGTTCATAACACGGCCCACCATACGAGTACATCAATCAGTTAACACAGTCACTCATATTAACAAGACCATCAGCAGTGTGTGTGTTCCCGGTGCCCACTGACACGAACTTGGTACCGAACCTAATTTTCAAGCTAAAACAACGAATTTTGAGCGAGGTTAGGTTAGGTTAGGTTAGGGGTAAGTTAAGTTTGGCTCGGATCATGTTAGTGAGTGAGTGAGTAGAAAGGTTAGGGAGGGAGGGAGGGGGAGTGGTTTGTGTTGGGGGTTGTGTAAGGGGAGGTAAGGGGAGGTAAGGGCTAGGGAGGGAAGTAAGGGAGGAAACGAAGATATAATGTATGCAGATGACATCACTCAACAACACATCGAAAAACACCACGAGCACTACAGGTCGACAACACCAGACGGGAAATAGAAAGGGTAAATAACTAAGAGAAAAAGAAAAGAACATTTAAACCAGTCCCCCGAAATCTACAGTAATACCCTTATGTAGAATGAAAACCCATCCATTAGTAACCAATAATTAATGACCAGATAGAATACAAAAGCAGAGGGACCCTCCTGGGCCTGCATATATCCACGACAGGTTACTCCCATCAAGTCCACAGCAGGAAGGAAAAGGCAAGAAGAGAGCTGAGAAAACTATACCGCTTTAACGCACTTTCTGAGAAAATAAAACTCCGCCTGGTGACATCATTTATCACACCGATATTAACTTACCCAGCAGTACCTCTTCATACTATGAGCACCACTCAAATATTAAAATTACAGGTGGTTAAAAATGAAACCCTAAGATTCGTCACAGGTGAAAGATACCCCTTCACCAGAACCACAGCCGAGATACATAGAGACCTGAGAATAAAACCAATCAACCAGCAGCTGCACACCCTGGCCAGCAGAATCTGGCAAAATATAGAACGATCAGAGCAAGAACTCCTTCAAAGACTCCCACCAGATAACGACAACAACCATACATGGTTCCCCAAAAAGTTACCAAATCTCAAAAGGTCCATTACCACCCCCGATCTACACGGCCAGGCAATAGACAACCTCCCTAGACCAGCATCCGCCAGTAGGGTCGGCGGAATATGAAATAAGGCCATTAAAACACCCATATATGGGATAGGGTAGAATGTCTAGCGCCTGTACCGACAGACAATAACTAACCCATGACACAACCCTAACACACTATTAGCTTACCTAACCCACAGCAAGGCGGTCATGTCCGCCCTCTCCTAAATTTCTTCAATTTCCGAACTATAACTTCCTTCCTCCACCTCTAATCTTCTTTCACCCTCTCTAATCAAAAAAAAAGGGGGAGAGGTGAAAGAAGGTGAGAGGTGAAGTGAGGGTAGGTGAGGGGAAGGATGGTACGTAAGGAGAGGATAGGGCTTGGGTGGGAGGTGAGGGGAGGTGAGGGGTAGGTGGTGGCGAGAAGGAGGGGGGGGGGTAGGTGTAAAGGTATCTGACTGAGACAAATTAATGTTATTGACGGGTGAGTGTGATCGACCATCAGTCTCCACCACGACACACAGCTGGTCGGCATACCTCTCAGGATCTCAATTTTTTATTCTTCCTCTTCTTCTTCCTCCTCTACCTCTTCTTCTTCCTCCTCTTCCTCTTCTACTCTTTTTCTTCTTCCTCCTCTACCTATTATTCTTCCTCCTCCTCCTCCTTCATTCCTTCCTTCTCTCTGGAAACTTGAGAACTATGTACTCCCCTCTCTAATTTTCCTCCTTTCCTTCTTTTTTCTTTACTCCATCCCTTCCTTCCTTACTTCCATCCTCCCCTCCACCTTACCCCTTTCTTCCCTCCCTCTATACTCTATCCTTCCTCCTCCTCCCCCCCCCTTCCTTCCCTCCCTCTGAAAAGTTAAGGAGAACTTTGTCTTCCTTTTAAACAATACATCAAGACAATACAAAGGCAACTGGGTGGAGATTAGAGGCTCAGTGTTAGGGGTCGTCTTCTTTCTTCTTCTTCTTCTTCTTCTTCTTCCTTCTCCGGGAGCTAGATAGATAGATTGGATTCCAGGAAGAGGAGGAGGACGAGGAGGGAAAGGAGGAGGAGGAAGAAGAGGGGGAGGAAGAGGAGGAAGAAGGGAGGGGAGAGGAGGTAGGAGGAGGATGTAGGGAGGAAGTGGAAGGGGTGGAGGAGGGGTAGGAGATGAAGGAGGGGGGGGGGTGGACGAGGGGAGGGGGGGGGGGAGGGGTAGGAGGTGGAGGAAGGGGAGGGCAGGGAGAAGGAGGAGGGGAAGGAGGGGGAGGAGGGGGAGGGGCAGGAGGTGGAGGAGGGGACAGAAGGGGCGGGGGGGCAGGAGGGGGTGGGGCAGGAGGGGTAGAGACTACCTGGCTGGCTGGCAGGTCGAGGAACAAGGTGTGGTGAACACTTCTCGTCTGATCCTGCCATCTGGTGGTTCCAGGATCCGACGCATTGGGATTACCCTACTGGGGCTCCGGACCCACACATTTGCACCATTCTCCTCCTCCTCCTCCTCCCCTCCCTCCACCACCACCACCACCTCCTCCTCCACCCTACCACCACTCACCTCCTCCTCCCCCACCCACCACCACCACCACCTCCCTCCCACCCCCCACCCACCTCACCTCCTCCTCCTCACCACCTCCACCACCACCTCTCCTCCTCCTCCTCCTCGCTTCTTACTCCAACACCCCGGATAAAAAAATACTTCCAAGACAATTTTCAGGCCCGTGGAGATGACCAGACCTCAATTAATCTTACCAGACGAACAAGAAAAACTCTTTTAAAACAGTTTTCTTACTACAATGAAAGACAGTTACTTCAAAGACTACGTTCTTACTCCACGATTTAAAATAGTTAAAAGTAATTGTCTTACTCCAAAAAAGTTACTTCAAAGTCAATTTTCTTACAGTCGAAAAAGTTTCTTAGATCAATTTCTTACTTGAATACTTAAAGTAGTTACTAGGAAGAAAAGGTTCAGCACCTGGAGGTGACCTGACCTGTCATCACTACAGGTAAGAACAGGTGAAGAAAATAACCTTCAGTTACAATCGATATGTAAAGAAACTTGAGACCTAATGAAGACAAATAATAAAAAATAAAAAAATAAATATACGATGTAGTTCGAGGATGACTCACTATGTTCATAGGTCGAGGATGACTCACTGTGTTCATAGGTCGAGGATGACTCACTGTGTTCATAGGTCGAGGAGGACTCACTGTGTTCATAGGTCGAGGATGACTCACTGTGTTCATAGGTCGAGGAGGACTCACTGTGTTCATAGGTTGAGGAGGACTCACTGTGTTCATAGGTCGAGGATGACTCACTGTGCCCATAGGTCGAGGAGGACTCACTGTGTTCATAGGTCGAGGATGACTCACTGTGTTCATAGGTCGAGGTTGACTCACTGTGTTCATAGGTCGAGGAGGACTCACTGTGTTCATAGGTCAAGGATGACTCACTGTGTTCATAGGTCGAGGTTGACTCACTGTGTTCATAGGTCGAGGAGGACTCACTGTGTTCATAGGTCGAGGCTGACTCACGTTTCATAGGTCGAGGATGACTCACTGTGCCCATAGGTCGAGGAGGACTCACTGTGTTCATAGGTCAAGGTTGACTCACTGTGTTCATAGGTCGAGGTTGACTCACTGTGTTCATAGGTCAAGGAGGACTCACTGTGTTCATAGGTCGAGGATGACTCACTGTGTTCATATGTCGAGGAGGACTCACTGTGTTCATAGGTCGAGGAGGACTCACTGTGTTCATAGGTCGAGGATGACTCACTGTGTTCATAGGTCGAGGAGGTTCATGTCGAGGAGGACTCACTGTGTTCATAGGTCGAGGAGGACTCACTGTGTTCATAGGTCGAGGAGGACTCACTGTGTTCATAGGTCGAGGAGGACTCACTGTGTTCATAGGTCGAGGAGGACTCACTGTGTTCATAGATCGAGGAGGACTCACAGTGTTCATAGGTCGAGGAGGACCCTACTGTGTTCATAGGTCGAGGAGGACCCACTGTGTCTTATAGGTCGAGGATGACTCACTGTGTTCATAGGTCGAGGACTCACTGTGTTCATATGTCGAGGATGACTCCACTGTGTTCATATGTCGAGGAGGAACTCACTGTGTTCATAGGTCGAGAGGACCTACTGTGTTCATAGGTCGAGGATGACTCACTGTTCATAGGTCGAGGAGGACTCACTGTGTTCATAGGTCGAGGAGGACTCACTGTGTTCATAGGTCGAGGAGGACTCACTGTGTTCATAGATCGAGGAGGACTCACAGTGATGATTGAGGTCAAAGGTTAACTGTGAACGCCAGGTTATTCCAGAGAACAAAACAATAAATATACTTTGTGCCAAAAGAGGTCACATATGGAGGTGACAGTGAAGTGAGGTTGACGGAGGTGAAAGGACCCTCACCCTTGACATGACTATAGTGACCATCAACACAAAAGTTACAAACAGACAAACAAATCAAACCTAATGCAATATATACCCCAACCATAAAGAAAGAGGAGCACAAGACCACAATAAACATAGCAACAAAGAAAAACAAGGACAAAAGGGGGAGAGAATTTAAACCAAATAAAGACCCAAAATCCAGACAAGAAAAATACGACCCCCAAAAAGGAGACGTAATCCTCTGATCTGGGAACCACTTAACGCTTGTAGTTCTCAGGGAGTTCATCGCGTCTTCCGTTCCAGCTAATCACATCGAACGTAAATCATTCATTCCTCAGAACCGTCACACGAGGGAACCTGTCTCTTCTGTCATCGGAGGGAAGGAGAGAGTGAGGAGAAGGAGGGAGGGGTCAGGAAGGAGGGAGGGAGGGTCAGGAAGGAGGGAAGAGGGAGGGGTCAGGGAAGGAGGGAAGAGGAAGGGGTCAGGGAAGGAGGAAGAGGAAGGGGTCAGGAAGGAGGGAAGAGGAAGGGGTCAGGGAAGGAGGGAAGAGGAAAGGGTCAGGAAGGAGGGAAGAGAAGGGGTCAGGGAAGGAGGGAAGAGGAAGGGTCAGGGAAGGAGGGAAGAGGGAAGGATGGGGAGGTGGGGAGGAAGGATCACCCAGACATTGGTGAAGGTCATATTTTATTCTCCAGAGAGAGAGAGAGAGAGAGGAGGGTGGGGGCGTGAGGAAACATGCTGGTGTGATGGAGTGAGAGAGTGGAGAGTGAGGATGGGACGGTAAGATTGTATCCGGGAGACGAAGGGAAAGAGTTGTGTGGGAGAGTGTCTGCAGGAATGGAAGATTGAGTGAGTGTGTTTGGGCGAGTGTGTGAGGTGTTTGGGTGAGTGTGTGTGTGTCACGTAGACATTCTATAACTAGTAAGAGAGAGAGAGAGAGAGAGAGAGAGAGAGAGAGAGAGAGAGAGAGAGAAGAGACACACTGAAAACTCCTATCATGAGAAGGAGAGAGAGGAGGCAGGTGAGATACAGGTGAGAGGGAGGAGGAGGAGAGAAAGATCACGTTAGAGGATATATAAGAGTAAGAGGAGGATAACAACACTATACACCTCTCCCCCCTCCTCCTTCCCTCCTCCCCCACTAAAACAAAAAACCTTAGTGATACAAATTTTAAATCTGACCACATGAAAAAATTAAATTCCTACGTAAACTCCTTCCTTCCTTCCTCCCCTCTTCCTCCCCTCACCCTCACCATCCTCCCACGGCCTCATGACGGCAGAGTGGAGAAGACAGTGAGAGTACACCCAAACACTTGATGGCATGCGCGGTGTAATTCTGAGGTGTGGTGTTAACTGTCAGGGTGTGGTGTTAACTGTGAGGGTGTGGTGTTAACCAGAGGGTGTGGTGTTAACTGTGAGGGTGTGGTGTTAATGTGAGGGTGTGGTGTTAACTGTGAGGGTGTGGTGTTAACTGTCAGGTGTGGTGTTAACTGTTAGGGTGTGGTGTTAACTGTGAGGGTGTGGTGTTAACTGTGAGGGTGTGGTGTTAACTGTGAGGGTGTGGTGTTAACTGTGAGGGTGTGGTGTTAACTGTCAGGTGTGGTGTTAACTGTGAGGGTGTGGTGTTAACTGTGAGGGTGTGGTGTTAACGCTGTGGGTGTGGTGTTAACTGTGAGGGTGTGGTGTTAACTGTGAGGGTGTGGTATTAACTGTGAGGGGTGTGGTGTTAACTGTGAGGGTGTGTGTTAATCAGAGGGTGTGGTGTTAACTGTTAGGGTGTGGTGTTAACTGTCAGTGTGGTGTTAACTGTGAGGGTGTGGTGTTAACTGTCAGGGTGTGGTGTTAACTGTTAGGTGGTGTTAACTGTCAGGGTGTTTAACTGTAGTGTGGTGTTAACTGTCAGTGGTGTTAACTGTCAGGGTGTGGTGTTAACTGTCAGGGTGTGGTGTTAACTGTCAGGGTGTGGTGTTAACTGTGAGGGTGTGGTGTTAACTGTGAGGGTGTGGTATTAACTGTGAGGGTGTGGTGCAACATTTACGTGTGGTATGATTTTGAAGTAATTGATTATATTGCAAAAAAAATATTAATGATTTTATTTTTACCAACAATCACTTTAAAAAATCCTTTTGAAATGACAACTTTTGCTAAATGTTTCTGAATAAAGAATGTCAATACAATTTACCCATTAATGCATGAAGGATAATCCCAAGTAATTGATAGAAGACAGGAGAGCAGCTGGTTTGGGTAGGGTAGGGTAGGGTAGGGTAGGGTAGGGTAGGGTAGGTTAGGTTAGGTTAGGTTAGGTATACAGTAAACAAATAAAGTATCTCTACAGCTCGGTTGGTATGCCTGACTGTGAAATGGATTCTTTTAATAATGTCGTAATAATATTTGTAGCACCTCTGTATCTTACCTCTGGAATGAAATAAATTGCACAATAACCTTTTGAAACCAAGACGCCACAGTTTGCTTTGTTTTAACGTCCACACATTTAGAAACATTCAACACAGGAGATACAGGCCATATCAAAGGAGACGAGTTGCCACACTAACACATGAGAGGAAGCGCGTGGCTGTAGTGAAAAAGTTAACATAGGTTACTATTGTTTCTTGACCTGTAATGCGAACTCAGAGACACGAATTTAATGTTTAAATTGGTGAGTGTTAATGTTTAAAATGTGATCCTGAAGCAAATACACATGTTTATTGTGTTTATACTTACTGTTACAAACACTCATATTCCCCAAACATTGATGAACTAAAGTATAAAAATCCAACTTATAAGAATTAACAAACCTCAGTCATAAGTATTTACCTGAAAGTCGATTTTTTCCGATTACAAAGTGTGGTTGATTTTATTCGACATTATTTCCACATAGGAACACCACCCAGGTCGATAATGTCAATACGTATCATGGTTCTGGTGTTGACTCGAGTTGGTGAGCTTTGTGAGTAAACATTATCACTATATGCAATCAGTACACGATATATAAGTCTTAAATACAGTCTGATAACTTTATATAATTCTCATCTACTCTGTGAAATATTTAATTAATTGTGTTTATTTACGTTTAATCACTTCTAACCACCACGACATAGATAACAATGATAGCCAGAGTGAGATACAATACAGGAAGTTTTCTTTACTTAAATAACACCAAAAAAAACACAGGTAAGATATTTAATTTCCTTCCCTAAAACAAATAAAAGAAAAACCAATTGTAATAAATAAAACAAAACAAAAGTACAAACAAAAATACAACTAAAATAAACAAATCATTTATAAAACAACAACAAAAATCTCCCATAAGAACACACACTCATGTTGTTGTGTTCCCCGCCAGCATCACCCCCCACCCTACCCCGCCCCGCCCTGTCCCACCCCTGCCCGTCTCCGCCCAACACCCTCAACCAGGTGCCGTATGAGGAAGCCTTTACCAATACCTACACGAAGGAGGTGTGCCATACAAGGTAATCGTTATCACCCTCACCTTGTTCCCAGGCTTGACACGACCTCCAATATATCACCAGTTTTTGTTGATTTACTGACCAATAAACACCTTAGCTCAGGCCACCCACCAATAACTAACACCTGGGACTCAAGGGTTATGGGGTTAAGTTAGGTTAAGTCAGGTTGCTAGGTTAGGTTAGGTTAGGTTAGGTCACGGGTTAATTCAAGTTAGACTAAATCAAACCAGATTAAGTTAGATTAAGTTAATTCGCGTTAGGTTAAATTCAGTTAAGTCATAAAGTTAAGGATAAGAGAATCACCATTGGAGAGTTAGTTAAGTCAGCCGCCAGAAAAAAAAAGTGTGGGAAGTAGCAGATGGTGGCAGGTGGTGGCAGGGAGCGGCAACACGAAGGGGGCCAACACAACACACGCTAGCCTGACAACACCGTGACAACAACAACAACAACACATAATACACAACACACGCTAGCCTGACAACACCGTGACGACGACAACAACACATAATACACAAACACACGCTAGCCTGACAACACCGTGACGACGACAACACCACATAATACACAACACACGCTAGCCTGACAACACCGTGACGACAACACCACATATCACACACAACACACGCTAGCCTGACAACACCGTGACGACGACAACACCACATAATACACAACACACGCTAGCCTGACAACACCGTGACGACGACAACAACACATAATACACAACACACGCTAGCCTGACAACACCGTGACGACGACAACACCATAATACACAACACACGCTAGCCTGACAACACCGTGACAACAACAACACATAATACACAACACACGCTAGCCTGACAACACCATGACAACACCGTGACAACAACAACAACAACAACAGATCCATAAACAATGACAACAAGAACAACGCCAAACACAAGACGTTAAATTACCTTAGAAAAAAAAAGCTGATTTAATGTAGAAAATAAGAGAGGAGAGTGCGTGTTGACATAGACGCCAGGTGAAGATTACAGACTTAGTGATGGTTATGAGTTGTGGTCTTTGTAATCGTTAAAAATCCCCAGCAAATAATCGCCAAAACACCTAAAATCGCTAAAACACC